TGAGGGACCCATGTGATTTTTGAAATAATATGTTCATTCTTTAGGGTGAAAAGGGTAGACAAATCTGTAATGGAGTAACCAACAAACTATCACAATTAGCCGTCTGACAGCCTACTTAATGTCCACACTCTACATCAACATATTCCCTTTTGAAACTGTGTTTTGAGAATTATCCTTGTGACTCTGGTGATGAATAAACTCATGTTACTACCATTCATATGAAGGCACCATGCTTCCAAATATTCCACACAGTGAAGACCTTTTTTTTTTACTATTATGAGAATATATTCCTGGGATTCAAACAAAACCATTAAAACGTGATTTTTTTAAAATGACTATCTGCAATTGGAAAATTCCTGAGAAGAATCAGCTTCTAGTGCAACACAAATGCAATCCAAAGCAGCCCTTCCCGTAGAGCAAGAAATCCAAAGAAATACATTTTCTGTGCATCAAGTTTTTTAAATGCTCCCTTTTCCACTGTTAAAATAGTTCCAGGAAAGAGAAAGAAACACGAATAGCAAACAAGTTGTGTGTTTGTGCAATACTTAGCACAACGGCCCATGACTGAGGTCTCCAGACACTACTGCAGTAATAAAAATATTGTAACAACAGTAGCAGCAGCAGCTGAAGATTTCATTTGTTTAGAAACAGTGGTGTCTTTATAAGTGGCATCAGAGTCGAAATCAGATTCAAAATACAAAAGCAGAGATTATCTTTTCAAGTTACTGTGAGTTTTAGTAAAGTCTACTTAAAGGTTATGATTATTACACATCTTTTCTACCCAAAATGTTTTTTCTCCTCTTTGCAAAACTGAAATTGTCTAGACAAGTCTTCCCAAGTATTTCTCCTGCCTGAAAAATGAAACTGAGATTTTGAAGACCTTTATATATTTAGACACACAGATACATGTTCTCTGAAAATAAATTGCATACTCAAGTTGCTGCTTGTCAGACTTCACACAGTAACTAAGGTATGTACATATGGATTTGAGCGAGCACACTCTAGGCAGTGTTGTGGGGAAGGGTATGGTGATCTAACAGACCTTACATTAGGGTCCTGCAGACTGGAGGCCTTACTGGTATTTACAAATGATGGCTCTTCTTTCCCCACCTGCTAAAAGAAAGAGTCATAGTTTAGTATATTTATGGCATATAGTTGTAGAAATATATACAATACTATAAAACTATAAGTACCAAAATATTTTCAATGCATAAAATGCTAGTTGTGCCCAGATTATAAAGCAAAATTGTTTTGCTTTCCATTTCCTTCTGTTGAGAATCATTTAAAAGTTAATCAGCTGCAGAATACAAGGCACAGTATAATAATATTGGGGGAAGATGATCTTTTTGACAAAACAAACTGATATAAATGCACATTCCATACAATATTTGAGTATGGATAGTGGAATCAATCAAAACCAAACAATCTTTTTTTCTGCTGTTTAACTCCTCACTGAAACTAAATTATGTGCAGATTATTTCCACCTGCATACCCACAGCCTAATTAGAATCACCATACCAAATCTCACAACTCTTCAACCAGACATTGAAAAATAAATTGGAAAAAGTAGTACCTTTGCATAACTTAAAAATCTGCTTAAAACCCACCAAAAGCTCTCCAATTCACTATTTCCCTAGAAGCCACAAACCTCTCTCTCTTGTATAGTTTGTCCTCAAATGCTGGAAAAACAACTAGCCATAATACTGCTTAAATGAAATCAGCAGAAAATGCAGACCGGCAGCTAATTTGACTTAGCAGTACATTACATACTCTTCAATGGATCCAAGACTCCAATATCCACATATCACCAGTACAATGTTGTACATGGCCCCTGTGTACTCTACTAACACTGTCTACAAATACTAGGGTATCTCCATATCTCTAGTAGACCAGAGGGGCTGTGATTTGGCCCAGTCAGTTTAAAGGATCAGGAGGAGTTTGAGCATACAATATATTACCTATTGTATTAATTGTTCTTTGTTTATTAAAAACAATACCACCGATATTTTTTATACTCAGAGCACTTTAGAAATCTCCAGTTAATCTATAAAAATTGATTGGAAATACTTAAAAGTATCTACACTGTATGCATGGTTCACAATTGGTCTTGTTCAAATTAATCCTTACATTTCTTACTTTCAAATGTTGAGAGGTTTTTTTCAGTCTAAAGTCTGTAGTGAGATTGTGTTTAAGGTCTTTATTTTCACAACTGACCTCTGTTTAAAAATGTTTTTGATTAGGGAATGAGGAAAAAAATAACAAACCGTTAGTATAGGTGAGCAGCAGAAGTTAGTGCTTCTTTACTCGTTAATATTTAAGTCAAGTGGTGATGAAGCTTCACATAAAACTGCTATATTTCTGAATGTTGAATGAGTGCAGCTGTCAGAGACTTAACACACACAGTCTCTTCGGTCCAAGAGATAATATTTTCAGCATGTGTATTGCTAAATGATAATTAGCTAGTTTCTTGCTATTTGTCAAACCAATTCTATAAAAATCATGAATTTTACTTTAGTCCAATATTTAAATTACCCAATTGAAAATGGGGAGTGCTCTGAATTTTAAGGTGCACTTGAACATAATAATGGAAAATAGAGTATTATCACTGAGAACAGAGCACAAAAAGATTACAAAAGTCAGCAATTGTAACCACAAATGAAATTATTAAAATTCAATCTATTCAGCAAAATGAGATCAGTGCCCCCTTTAGGGAGGGATTCGGCATGTTACTGGCTAATAATCATATCCCCCAGCCCTGTAACATGTAAGCTAATATATCCACTCTTGGAGCCAAGAGTGTGATTCACAGCTGGTGTAGGCAAACTCATACTAGCTCTCAGCTAAAACCAGTAGCGTAGCATCAGCAAAGGTCTGGACCAGCTTCCCCAAGTTCAAACTCGCCCTGACCCCCTATATGTGCACTTGTGGTGGCTAGTCCAGGCCACCGCTCATGCAGCCCACTCAACCGAGACTACACAATCAACAAGAGCTAGCACAGGAATGCTCGCACAGCCTGTGAAGCACAGTTCTAGCTCCTTGTGTAGATGAAGCCTCAATCCCCAGACCACTGCTACCTCCCCAGCATGAATCTATGCTGGAATATGGAGCCAGCTGAATGCGAGGTTGGGGGGGGGGGGAGAGGAAAGGAGTATTTTAAAACATTTTCTACGTATTGAGGGATTTTTTATTATTATTTTATGTTTTAAGGGATAGAAAGTAAATATTGAAAGCAGGCGCTGTAGAGTGTAGAAGGACAGACCCAGAAAGAAATTCTGCCTGTAAATTATATTACTGATAAGGTCTCCATCAATCTGGAAACTGGGTTGTTCCAATTTTTGTAGGCTTAGGTAGCTAAACAAGTCTGCTGACAGAAGGCTTTTGGCCTTGTTTTCTTCTTGCATGGCAAATCATTTACTAACCAGTGATCAACTTTCTCAGCACATCTGAAAGCATCTGACCCAGAACCTGAAACAAGAATTATGTACCAAGAAAAATTACCACAAGAGTGTCCCGACTGTTGGAGTTCCCTGAAAAAATGCAAATGCTATGGCCAAAGATTCATCATTCTTTCAGCAATCTGAAAAAGGGAGTTTTGTCTACAACCCAGAGGTGTTGCGAGGGTGTTATGCACCTAGGGGCAAAGGCAAAATTTGGGTTCTTTTACACCCCGCCGCCCGGCAGGGCCCCGAACCTGGCGCACGCCTGAGCCTGACCCTGGGAGGAGAGGGAGGTGCTTGTACTGCGACTTCCCCTGCTCCCTCCAGTTTGGGGCCGGGCGTCTGCATGCACTAGCCCGCCAGTGGAGATGGAAGTGGGTCGGGCTGGGGGTGGAGAGGCAGGGAGGAGGCTACAGCCAGCAGTGGCGGGCGGAGGAGGAGCAGGCGAGCTGAGGGATGACAGGGAGAGAGGAGGGGGATTAAATTGGTGCCCCCCTAGAGTGGTGCCTGGGAGCAACTGACCCCTCACTACTCCACTGCTAGAACCACCCCCTATCTGGTGGGAAGCAGATAGCAGCCACTAGCCAGTGGTCTCTATGTACCATTAAACTCAGGAACCTTCACTGTCAGAGGCTTGGACAGCCACATAAGTAATGAGGTATGAAGGCAAGAATGCAGCGACATGTGGCTGCTCAGCAGATTGCCTCCACTGAGGCGGATTCTCGCTCTGCCCATTCTGTAAAAGGAATGAGCTATAATGCCTTTGGGGCATGACAGGCCATCTGGTGCATATGCTTCCTCTGGACACTGTCAGATGCATTTAATTATTACCAAAAGGGAAACAACTTGGCCCTTCTTGCAGGCAGATTATAGGAGAACCAGGGAATCCAGTTCTCCAAGCTCCCTGACACAATGGAACGTCAGGCGCTTTCCTTACCTGAGGCAGGCCCAGAGCAAAGACAAAGGAAATAAATGTGGTGATTTCAATGAAAAATGATTTGGATAAAACTGCTAACAGGGCAACAAGTTACATTATCATTGGAGGAAACCATGACGGGGCACTAGCTTGCATGCTCTCTACAGATAGAGATAGATGCCAAGGAAAGCTACTCTTACTGAGAGCCAGAGTTATTCTTTACATCAAAAAAGGGGCACAGAAAGTTGTGAATCCTGACTGGCTGCTTTATCGGCTCCTACTGCCTTGGCTGACACCTGAGCCCCTACCTTCCTGTCCCATTCCTCCCTGCCTGCCTTATTCCAGATTCCATCGTGCTGTTACACCTACTCCGGCTACTGACTCTGGCTCTATCCCTCGGCTCAATTCCTGACTTTGACTCATGGTTTGACTCCGTCTCTGACCTGCAGTCCCTGACTCTTGTTCTGACTACTAGACCTGACTCCCACTGCTCTGACTACTAGGTCTAACTGCCTATCCCCATTCACAACAGTTATACTGTATGGGCTCGTCTACACTGGCCCCTTTTCCGGAAGGGGCATGTTAATTTCACCTATCGTAGTAGGGAAATCCGCGGGGGATTTAAATATCCCCCGCGGCATTTAAATAAAAATGTCCGCCGCTTTTTCCCGGCTTTTAAAAAAGCCGGAAAAGAGCGTCTACACTGGCCCCGATCCTCCGGAAAAAGCGCCCTTTTCCGGAGGCTCTTATTCCTACTTTGAAGTAGGAATAAGAGCCTCCGGAAAAGGGCGCTTTTTCCGGAGGATCGGGGCCAGTGTAGACGCTCTTTTCCGGCTTTTTTAAAAGCCGGAAAAAAGCGGCGGACATTTTTATTTAAATGCCGCGGGGGATATTTAAATCCCCCGCGGATTTCCCTACTACGATAGGTGAAATTAACATGCCCCTTCCGGAAAAGGGGCCAGTGTAGATGTAGCCCCAGTGTGTTCCGCTTCCAAAACAACGAATCCCCTTTTGTGTTTATCCCACCATATTCCTCTCTCTCTTCTTTATCACCAGAGGCATTAAGGAACATCTTAGTCTCTTCTTCTGACTTCATGAATCAGCCAAAAAGTTGACCGAAGCAGTGGATACTTGCAAAGGCAGTCAGGCAGCTGATTATGCAAAAGAGAGAGGGGAAGCTACACTATTTCCAGATTGCTGGAGCCCTCCAAGCAGAAGGCCAGCAATAGCCATGGTTCAATGGCACCGACAGCAAAAATGCTTCCCCCAGCATGTCTGTTGTTCTGAAATGAAACTGAGGAACTCTCAAGGGCATGGGATGTTTTCAGCTTCCTGCCAGTGTACCCAATCCTTCTGCCAGACCACTTCTTGGCTGACCTGATTGTATTTCATAAGCCAAGCAGCAGGGTTACTGGGAAAAGAAGCCTCCAAGGAAAACCCTGGTGCGGGAAGTGGTGTTGGTATCTCAGCTGATAGGGCTCTTCCTTTGCAATCAGAAGAGCATCATGGGTGGTTCTTTGAGGGAGGAACCATCTTTTTGTTCTGTGTTTGTACATGGCCTAGTACAACAGATCTAGGACTGTGGCTCTCAAGTGCTATTGCACAGCAAATAGTAAAAAACAATAATTGTACCATTAAAGTGATAGCAGGCATTGAATTGCAGGAGACCTTTTCTGATGAGACACAGAGCTGAGGTATTGATTATGTGTAGTCATAACAACCTTGCGTCACCATTTGCAAGTCTATTCCTCAGTGTCCCA